TTAGGACCAAAGTGTCTTCAGAAAGTGCTGAAAGAAAATCCTGCTAATCCTAAAACAAAGCAGGTGTTTTGTAGACCATGCTAGATCCTATTTAATCTCTTATTTTTGTAGCATAAAATTCAGTATGTTATTAATGAGGTTCATCATGAAAGGACCTAGTGGGCCTCTTAGGCAGCCCCAACAACATTTTTAATGCAGCAAGATTCCCATATGAGTGGTTATGCCCATGCACATATGTATGTATGTGGAGACTATGACACTAAGACACACACGGTTTGAGTGAAAATGGATGTGTAATATTAAAATTGTCAAGATAGCAATTTCTTTGAAATACAAATTTGGAAAAGGCTTCCAAAAAGTACTCCCTTAATACAACAGTCTTCTTTAATAGGTTGCTGTCACTTGAAAGCCTCAGGATGCAAAATACCTGATGTCTAGTCTATTTTGAGGCCATTACAGCTGGCAGTTGAAATGAGTGCAACTCAGAAAAGCTCTTCATCTTTTTTTTTCTCTTTTTTTTTTTTTTTTATTTCTCCAAAGACTGAAAAAGGAAAAAAAAAATGGTACGGAGATATCTAATCCATATCTGCTTGTAAGACAGGTATTTGTCAGCAGTATCTCAGAGAACCAGCACCTCTCAGAGCAGATAAAGCCTTGCTTCTAAATCTAATAATGTTATGTTTAAAAGGAAAATGGAAAGAAAAGGGAATAGAAACATCCTGTGGCGGATGCACCATCCCTGTGCTAAGATTTGCAGTGGAGAAGGAACAAAAGTCACGGTTCTTGCAGCAGAACCTGAGAACGTGATTGAGCCAGAGTCCCCAAACGTGGGGATAACCTGGGAGAAGTGTCTTGTGAACACCCAAAGCAAAAAGCTTGATTTTTTAGTGGATTTGCAGTTCGTGGTTGAGTGATTTAGCTGAATTTGTTAGACCTGAATTCAGTTTTTACAGAATTCACATAATACGAGTGCTTAAGCTGGAGTTAACGCCTTATTGCACACCAGAGAAGCTGTTCCTCAGTTTCTCCCTGTGTAGATCCTCCAGTAACTAATGAGGCACAAAACCCAATCAAAGATTTTTCTGCTATTTGGGTGGCTATATCACCTTTCTCTTCCTCGTGAAGTCTGAGTTTTAATACACAGTGAGCACTCGTGGTGCTCCTTGTCTCAATCATCATATCTCGTTTCTTACTGCAGCCACCTGTTTCCTGGGCAATTGGGGGAATATAAATAGCAATGAAGTAGTCAGGTGTCTTCTGAAGTTATTCAGCTTTAACAGCAGTTTGATAATACAGGGATGGCAGGTTATTTGGGTCTGGATCTGTTTTCTGGTTAAACTTAGCATTTTGGACTGGTTGTATTCATGTTTCTAATGTTAGCTGGTGCTTCTGGATGGAGTAGAAAGCACGTGAAACTTGATTTTTCCTGGGAAAACCCCATTATCTCTTTAAAAGATTTATACTCTCCTAAAGCTGCTTACCGGAGGCTTTACCTTTTTATTCTTTCACTTCCACCCCCATAGCAATACATGGTAAGGTTTCTAATGCTGTGTGAATTTTCCAGTCTGAAAATTGAGTTAGAAATGAATTTCTGTACAGTAAGTACAGAAATTCCCATGAAAGTAAGTACAGAAATTCTTCCCGTGGTAGAAGTTATCCTAATGAACCTAATGCATCTCTTCCAGCTCTATAAACATGCACATTGCCATAAAAAATGGGAATGAGGGATTGGAAGTGGTGGTGGCTTTGCTTGTGGTGTTTGTACAGGTTATGAGCACAGCATTTGTTTCCTCTTCTGCTAGCATATTTTGTGAGACCAAAAGGGTCCAAGGGGAAGGACTAAATCTCAGCTCTTGTGAGAGAATTTCCAAACTGATGCTCCAGGGGAAAAAAAAAAAATAAAAAGTTGGAATTATACAAGCTTGATCATTTCCCATTTAAAAACAAACAAAACATGTAACAAAACATTTGCTGCTTACAGAAGGGTGCCCTGGAGTGGGGAGAAGGAGGTTCTTGAGATATTGAGGTTCTTGCTGTCTTCTCCCTCATCTTGAGGCTGCTCCAAGTGTTTGCTTAATTTATACTGGGTGCTCTGTTGTCTTCTGGGCTACTAAAACCCCAGGATAAGGAACGAGCTTTCTCACATCAGTGTCTGTCTTTATGCCTTTTTTTAGAAGTATTGTTTTTATGTAGCGCGTCCGTGAGTGTTTGACATTGGATGACTTTATAAAACATCCCACTAATTGGATTTGTTAAAATAAATAAATCAAACGCTAATTGGAACGTGCCCTGCCATTATTTTTGCTTACTGAATTAGATATAATGGCACGGAGTCCTTTTTATCGTATTTGTGCACTTATTTAAACATCCCCCTGGCACCCAATCCTGCAAATTCAATTATATATTCAAAGGAGGCATTCAATTTATGCAAGGCTGGTTTACATTTAAACCGGGGGCAAGGCTCGGTAGCTGATGATAGGTCTGCTCAAGATTAATTAGCATCACTCAGCTGAGCGGCCGCATTGTTGCGAGGCGGCAGTGCGAAACAAGGGATGTTTTATCCGTCCTCTGTGAGCTCTTCTGTGCTTCGGGGTGACCCTTTCCAGGCAGGGAAGGATTTTGCCCTTGCTTGGGTTTCCTCTCATGAAAAGGAAGGGTCAACATCAGGCGTATTATCTGCCACCATCAAAGTCGCTGTCGTTTCCTTTTCTTTTCAGCGCCTTTTAGCGGCTCCGTTTTCTGCTCTTAGTTTTGTGTTGATTGATAGATTCCAAGATTCCCCTTTGCTTCGCCCTCATCACAACTAATGAAGATGGAGAAGCCCCTTCTGGTTGTAGTGTGGATGCTTTTGTTTCCCTCAAAGCTCCTTTGTGATGTGGTAGCTAATGTTGTAACATGCAAACCAGGTACCTCAGTTCAAACTCTAGGATCTTTTTCTTTCAATTTGTGGTTTCTTTTTTTTTTTTTTCCTTGTGTTTCTTTTTTTCTTTTTTTTTTTCTTTCTCTGTTCGCTAATGAATAGCCGTGTTCTGCTGCTGAGACGGTAGATTTCACTGATGGATGATTATGCATTGAGAGAGCCCTTACTCATTTTTTTTTCTTTATTCCAGCATATTTAGATGTAGCTCACGATCAGGTATCTGCACAGGTGACATATTGTATTAGGAAGTCCTAAGCAGTAAGCTTGCACTGATGATGAGTATAGTATCTGCTGGTTTTAGCTGGTCCCTTCTAGGAAGTGCTATTCCTATTTAAGTGGACTTTAAAACCTATTAATACCTTGTCAGGTGAACCTGAAATTCATTAGTGGAGGCAAAATTTCCCAGGATCTTGCCCTTAGACAGTTGCGTAGCCTGCAAAGCAGTTCCACAATGTCATCGTGTTAGTGCTAGGAGTTCCTACATGAGGTCCTGGGCATCTCCTGGCTGGATGTCCCAGATGGAGGGTGGTGGCCAAGTCCTCACCACGCCAAGATCTGATTGTAGAGGTGGTGAAATGGTGCAGCTGAGCAGTGTTCCTGAGGATGGGTTTCATTCCTTGCTCTTTCTGAAGTTTCTTTCCTCTTACATGATGTTGTCCATGCTGTATTAGGCAAACCTATTTTCAGCAAACCCTGAGTATGGCTTATATTGGGAATCTTTTGCTCTCTATTGACTCCATGGACAGAGGTTTTCTTCATTTTGAGATCCAGATTCCAACCTTTCCTTGCTTCTTGCAAATTCCCCTCGCAAAATTGCAATTCTGTTGCTCCTGGGAAATGAATCCTTCTAGTTTACTGCCTTGTCACTCTGTATTTTCAAGTTCCTCCACAATTTTTCCTTTTTAGAAGTGCCGGCATCTTGCTGCTGCTTTTAAGGCTCCTCATAGTTTATCCTGACCTTTCTTAGCCAAGCTCAGTGTCTTACTACAAGGTCAAACCTTGACTTTCAGACATGACACTTGCAGGCTTCCTCAAATATCCGATCCTTTTTGGGGAAACTCCCAGTTAATTTCCTGTGTTTCCCACCGTATTCCCTTCTCAGCTTCTCCTCCGATTTTATCTACTTCATTATGTATAAAATAACCTGCTACCTGCTGATATGATGTGATGATGTGATAGCAGCAATTACATTCTCCCTTAAATAAGGACTGTGCTCTGTATTTTTGCACAGGTAATGAGGCACCATGAATACTTGGAGGGAACTCTGCTGAGACAGAGACAGTCCAGGTTGTCTATAAAATGCATGCAATATATCAAAAATATATATGGAAATTGAAATTGCTATTAATTTTAGGACGAGCTTTGACTTAAACTTTTCTTTAGCAACACCATAGTTTTGTGTATCAGGCTCTTTATTTTACAAATTCCAGTAGTAAATACTTGGTTAAGTTTTAGTAGTAAGTTGTTTGTGTCAAGTTTTGTAGAATTTACTGGAAAATACTAGAAACTGTGCTGGAGTGCATATAAAGTCATTTAATATAATAAGGATTTAACAGAGATAACAATTTGAAGTGTATTTGGGTTTGATATGTATGAAGTGTTTTAGAAGACACGTGTGGGGCTGAGAGAATAAGAAAATCTAAGTGATCACTGAAGACCTAAATGTCTCCTGTGTTGGGTGACCCTTTTTGCAGAGCAGCCCCTGATCACTTGTTTGAGCTGTTTATTGTGGCTGTTCAGACAACACAGCCCGTGGGAAGGAGTCAGAGACATCTCTGTGCATCTAATTCTCCCATTAGTGTCAAGAGCAATTGGCAGCTTGGCTGGCAGGACAAGTTAGTGTAGCCTTGAGCGCTGCTGAGTCCTTTCAGCTCCAGGAGTTAGATGTGTCCAGTTGACTTTGGAGGACTAATATCTATGCAGAAAAGTTACCCTTGCTTCTCAGAGAGAGAACAGCACAATAGTAGAGAGCTATTGAATGCGCGGTTAAGATTTGGACTGCAGGACCTGGGCTGCCTTTCCTAGTGGATTCAATGCAGGAAAGGGTTTAGCAGCCCACCTTGGATGGAGGTGAAGAGGAATGACCCTGAGGCCATGTAATTGACACCAGCATAGGAGTGACTCTTCTGAAACTAATCCCAGCTAACTTGATTTGTCTGCGTGATGCCAGTTTTTAAGATCTGTGCTGTAATGTAACATGTAACTCTATTCTTCATGAGTTTCAAATGTTCAGAGAGCTGCTGTGGTGTGTGTGTATTTTTTTAATTTTTTTTTTTTTGACATTTAAGATAACAAGAATTGCAGTAGGAAAGATCATTTGGCCAACAGCTTGGGATGGGTGGAATTGCCATCCTATCCCTTTGTTGTTCTCTCATTGTAAAAGGAAAGCTTCTCTACTGCAGACCTTGAGCACAAGTCAGGGCCATGTGAAGCTCCACGTTGGGATCTGTGGAAGGTGATTTAAGGGAGAGTTGGACTTTACAGTAGTTATAACCCAACTGTGTGTAATTAAAGGTATAAAACTGAAATGAAGTGAGAACATTATTTATTTTGCCGTAAGAACAGTGGAACTGTGGCTGTGTCTTCAACATGTGAGTTGATTCTTCCTGACTTTTGAATATCTGACTTAAAGGTATTTCCACTTAGGTACCAGTTACTGGGACCCAGGCTGAAATACGTGCACGCGTTCATTGTAACTGTGCTGTAAAATGTTGAAAAATGCTACAAAAGGCAATAGGTTGGATTAACTGGTCTGAGGAACAGCAGCATGGAGGGGGGAAAAACAAAGGCATCTAATGGATTCAAGTGGTAGAAGATTTAAAGATATTTTTTGGGTAGCTCCAAGGCAATTCCTCCCTGCTGCTTGAAACCTAATATACTGATTATTACTATTATTATTTCTTCCTCTTGGAAACTTGAATACAAAATACTCATGTAAATGAACTAGCATAATGAGAATGAATACATTTTCATATTAATTATTTCTTTTTTCTTGTCTTCAGGCGGTTGCTCGTTTGATGAGCACTACAGTAACTGTGGTTATAGCGTGGCTTTGGGAACCAATGGATTTACCTGGGAGCAGGTTAATACCTGGGAAAAGCCAACAATGGACCCAGCTGTTCCAACTGGTGAGTAGGAAGCTTCAACAAAAGGGCAGAATTTTTACCAATATTATCATTTGTGAGGATCGACTATTAGCTCATATGAGAGGGAGTTTTATGCAGCACTGAAACTGATTTTTGTGTTCAAAATAATCAGACAACAAAATTCATAAATGTGGGAAGGCTTTTTATGGTATCAGCCACTTGATGTCTTTTGATGTCGTTACTGAATTCTTTTCATCCCTTATTCCTGTTTTATTTCCACATTCAGGAGAACAAATGACTTTGTTTTAGGCAAAACAATCCAACCTTTGGCCTGTTTCGGGATCAGGCTCACAGAAGAACCTGTTCAGGAGGTCAAGGAAAGTATAATTTTAAGACCTCCAGGAACACTGGACCCTCCCGTTAACATTCAGCTCTTAATTGACTGCCTTAAGTTTTAATTCTGAGGAAGAGGAGAAAAATTCAGAAGAGTTTACTTTAAAATGGTAAAGTTAATGTCTTAGTGGCTTTTCAGGACTTTTAAGTTTTCATATGCAAGAAAAATATTTCCCACAGAGAGAGTTACCAGAACATCTAAGTTGCTAACATATATTAAGAACATCCAGCAATATCATCATCTTCTACGAGGTACTTGAAGCGTTCTCTGGAGATCTCCTAGTAATGATGTTTTCTGGAAGCTTTGTTTCTCATTGGAAGTAAACATTATGCTGACGTGTATGGGGATAAATTCTCTGTCTTTTCTAAAATGCTGTGGAATGCTGTGTTGAAAAAGAGCTTCTTTTTTAGAAAGTACACTGAGATTTTCTAAAATTCCTAGTTCACCCGCTGCTTTTGTCAGTTAAAATAACAGTAGACCCTGTTAAAGTCATTCATATAATGGCAAGCAGAACTGACTAGTCATTTAATGTTTTGCTTTCAGTTCTAAGAAAGATGGATTTGTTTCAGGTAGTGTATTGCATTCTAAAAAAGGGTGAGCAAAGTTGCAGAATCAACATGTTTACCGCTCAAGAGGTAATTTTACCCCTTTCTTTCCTGGAAGGAGAGGTGTGAAGATGCTAAATTGCTAAGACAAGACAGATCTTTGAATTAACTGATCCCAGAATGATCTGAAGGAACAAAAATACGGATAATTATAAGACAAATTGGAAGGCAAGAAATAAATGGAAAGGCTTGCATGGCTTGGACGGGAGGAGCTTAATGTCAACTGTAAATGTTGATGTAAGCCTATCCTTCAGACACTTGGGGACTGTAGGAGAGTGTGTTACTGTCCTGATCTCACGAGAACCACAGAAAAATAGCAAAGAAGGGTCTGGAATGGTGTGGTAGAAAAGCAATCACACACCCCCAAACCTGAAACCAAAGGCAACAAGATGGTACAGTGGATTTTTCTCACAGGGCTTTCAGAATTAATCCTTCTAAAACTATGAAAACGCAGTGAGTTATGTGGACTTCCTTTTAATACTTTAATTTTATCATATCTTATAGCAGCACTAATTATTAAATGCATAGTAGTCTCAGGGCAGCTGCGAATTTCATAATGTTGGATGTAAAATGAGAAAGAGGAAGAATATTATTAATATTTTGCTCTACTGAATAAGATGCATCAGATGAATCTGCCAACCACCTGGAAGATGCTGATGAAGAAATAATACCTAAAGCCACTTTGAGGAGTATGAGTGGAAATGAGTCAGGTCCTCACACTGCCAGGACTGTTCAATTCCTGTAGAGCAAAAGGCAAAACTGGTAGGTAGAAAGGGAAGGTTGGCTGCTGCCAATATGAACAGATGGCTCCAGCAGCAAACATGGTTTCAGGAACTGTCCACATTGCGCTAACCTTGAAGTAAATTGTTGTGGTCAATGAGATTGCCTCAAGCTAGCAGAAACACTAAAGCTGCTATTGAGAATCTGTACTATTGAACCTAAGTTGAATGCATTTTCTTTGTAGTGGTTACTCCCTAAAAATCTCTTTTGCAAGGATAAAGGATATTTACTTCAAACTCGCTTAGTGTTAAAGTCAGCTGAATAAGCTGATGAGCAGCACATTCTGCCCTTGCAAGTGGGGACGTCTTTAAAACTGGTCCAGTGGGTAGCTGCATCTTCCCATTGCATCTAATTTCTCTGCCGCAGAGGGTTCCTCCACGGAGCTGCATGGGCCAGAGGTGGCATCAGAGATGCTGGTGAGCTGAGCATCTTCTGGTGGCCAGTGCTAGCCAGGAAAGCTCCTGTTCTTTGGAGAGTTAGGGATAGGAGAGCCAGGCTTCACAGGGTCCTGCAGAGGTGGGCACTGATGCAAATGGAGTTTTGCAGGGGTACCTTTTCCAGCAGGGAATATAACCAAATACTATATTGTGGAATGTAATGTAGAAATGGTGTGGGGGGAAATCAAATGAATGGGCGAGAGATGGGTTCAAAGGTACTAAATGAGTCTGCAGCGCAACCTGCTGGGAGCTGCGGGCAGAAAGCGGGGTCCCCCCCGCCCCGGTCAGCCTGCATTAACATTTCCCTCAGCACTCTTTTCCTCTGTAAGCGTGCTGGCTTTCCGAAGCACCAGCAGGCCCCTGTGAATCCCGCCAAGCCCCAGCACGGTGCCCTCCTGCATGCTAATGATAATGTCTCGCGCTTCTCGCCGTGCTTTTCATGGTTGCATCTCGAAAGGGCTCTTCAAAGGAGGGCAGGGCCGTGAGGGCGAGCTCGGTCTACGGTGTCTGCTGCCACCCGGCCTCAGAGGTCTCTGTGCAGGGACAGCTCGCTATTCTTGGTTGTTTTTCTTCCTTTTTTTTGAATTAAAATGCCCCGAAAAGAGCAATTAAAATGCTGCATTAGCAAAGGAGCTGGTTTGTAGGCGATTTGACATCATGGCTAGCAAATAAGCTGTTTTCCAGGAGTTCTGTGGTTTATCCCTCAGGGCCAGGAGCAGTGTTAATTGGGGGGGTTAATAACAAAAATGCTTTGTTGCTTTGAAAAAGTACCTCAAAAATGAGGAGATGAAAGGTGAGTAGCCAGCCTCCTGACTTTGAAACTGCCCTTCCATGTCTTTACGTAATAGCAGGAGAGATTATAGCAGGATTTTCTTTAACAGATGGGTATTTGTTTGAACCCAGACAGCCTTGACAAGACGTTCTCCATCCTTTTGGCTACTTGTTTCAGTGACCATTTGAGTTGCCAAGTTTCTCAGCCTCCTTTTTTCCCTCATTTTTCCCTTCCTTCTTCTCATTGCACCATTGCAGCACTCCAAGCACTGTGGACCTGTCTGCCCTTGCTGCAGTTGTAAGAATAATGTCATAATGAAAGTATTTAACATTTGCATGTTCAAAGCACTTTACCAGCATTTACTAATTAACTCCAAAGGAGACCTAACCAGGGCTGACTTGATTGGAGTAATTACTTTAATTGTATTAAATATGATCCCGCTCTGAACACCAAGTGGTTTTGCCACGTGCCTTTCTGCAGCAGCGTTCCTCAGTGCTAGATTTATTGCTAACCTTGTGGAAAATGCCACTAAGTTGTTTTAGTGTTTTTGTGAGATGATTTCTATGGCATTTTTAGCGGCCAACTAAGATTACCCTATTGGTTTTGAAGCCCACTGACAAGCGTAATGCATTTGTGCTTCCCTGGATTGCAGTTGATCTAAAGGATTTGAACTGTTCCAGAAGACACTGGTAGGGTAGTAGCAAATGGATAATACACATGGAGTGTAGTATATGAGCTTGGAGAAGGAATCTTGTAAATGGTGGACATCTGGAGATAGCAAGAGCAAGGCACAAGTGGGTTCTAGTTTACTTACATGCCTATACTGTGTCATCAGATGAGATGAACCCAACTCAAGAGTTGGCGAGTGTGTGTAGCGCCTCATTTGCCTTCAGTACGTGCTGGTGCCTCACTGAAAACCTGTGGCAGAATTTTTCTTCTCTGTTGTGGCAGATGTGAGGGCTGGGGACCCTTCCCTCATCCAGCTGGGTGTGTTTATGAGTTGCAGTGACTGGAGGGCTCTCTTGAGTTGCTCGCTGGAGGGAAGAACAGAAGGGTTATCATCATTAGCGTTGCTTCGTGAACGACCCATTTAGCCGGCGAATGTCAGAGGCATGATGTATGTCTAAGCACCAGATGGCTAAAATCTACCTGGATTCCACAGAAATGAATGAAGTTTAATGTTAGTCTAATGGATCCAATGTTTTTCTGTCACCTTCCTGTCTGTGGTGAGTGGCACCACGGAGTTAACGTCAATGAATAATCACAGAACAACCCTCACTGAGGAAGGGAAGTTGACAGCCTTCCATCTAAGCCCACAGGATTCTTTAACTTAGTTCAGAAAGTGACTGATGTAAAATCAGTGTTAAATTTTACAAGGGACCGAGAGCCTCTGTGCACAGGTCAGATAGTTGTTTTCTATTTTCCTTCAGGCTGGAATAAATGCCAAGAGGAGTGAGATGCAACATTTATAAATTTGAAAGGCACTGCAATAAAATTAACATTTTCTTCTGTCTGAGTGTATTAATTTTTGCTTACAAGAAAACACACCAACAAACTTGTTAAAGGAATAAATTAAAAACCAACTGTGTATATGATGAATCATGATCCAATTTTGTCTGAGATGGAGGAAGAAATTTGACTCAGCTGTGTATATTATTTGTCCTTTAAAAAAAAAATCAGGGGAAATTACTAAGGATGTGGGAAATAACGTTTTTTTTTCCACAGTCTTTCACTCCTGTACAAGTAAATAGATTAGTCTGTGGTGAGGCAATGAACTAAAAAGTCATTTCTTCGCTTTCAAGTTCTAGGCAAAATTGGATCTCTGGATGATTTCCAGAGCGTGTTGATTTTGCTCTTTACTGTGCAGCCTCATGTCTGTGTTTGGGGATTGCTTTTTATAGTTGCATTTGTAAATATTTTTTTCATTTTTTTTTTTCCTGAAATTTTCTCCTTAATTTGCTTGAGTTTGGAGACTTGATCTCTTACTTGCCCTGTTTGATTTTAATGAATATACATAAGAAAGTTTTATTACTTGTAAACCATACTGTCTGGCC